TTGTCACAATTTACTTTCAGTTTTAATTTACATAAAAAAGAAAAAATAGTGGACAATTTTGACAAAATTTAAATTTTAAAGGTGTTATTTTTTTTAAAAAAATTTAATTTAAAAGTAAGAGATTTATTTTTATTATTAGATGAATTTTCTTAATTTATTAGTAATTTAAATGAAAAAGTATACAGTAAATAAATTATACAATTTTAAGCAAAATAATTAAAAATTGATCACTACCATCTAGTGAGAATTGTGTAAATCTTTTTTTTTAAATTACAACGCCATTATTTCGAAAGCGAATGGTGCTGCCTCTCCCTGTCCCCTGTTAGTTATCGAATAAAATATTGTCCAGTCTCGAATAAAATAGAATCGCAAATTTAATTAATTTTAGAATTTAATTATAGTCAATCGAATAAGACTTTATAAATCTATTCAAGGTCCTGTGTTCCATAAACCGTCTTTTAATTTTTAATATTTATCCTAATTTTAACTTGAAAAATTTTCTATTGAAAATATAATAAGTTTTCGGATTGTTTTCTTCGACAATAAGGAATAAAAATAGTAAGATTATTAATCATTAAGATGTTCAAATTTTCAAAAAATTAGTTTTTCTATTATTCAAGATTTATTAAAATTTCTTTTGATGATTTGAAATTTTTATTTTGTTCTCATCGGGCTCGTTTAAATGTTATTTTCACGATACATTTGTTTTATTGAAAAATTAATATTTCTCGATTAGAGTGATAATGATAAGAATTCTTTTTTTCCTTTTTAATGTTATTTTAAATATTCATTAAAATTATTTAATTAAATTATTCCAAATGTTTCTTCAATATTTTTTAAATTATTATTGTTATTTTATGTATTATTATTATTTATATTATTATTATTAATTTATATTTATTATTATTCATCATCTACTATCAGTAAAATTTGTTTTTTAATTTTCAGAAATATCGCTTGTGGGCGGAAATTTTGCATCTGATGAGTATAAATAGTGCACTGCAATATTGAAATATGTATTCTTACCTGTGGACTTACAATAAGGAATCTCGTATTGCAATTATGGTGCGGTGAGTTTACATTACTTATTATTAAAAAAAAAATTTTAAAAAAGGTGTGTTTTTAAATAACGAAATCGAAAAATTGTTCCCTGCTAGGGAAGTCAGGGAATTTTAATGAATTTCTTTTTGCTATTTTCGGATTAAATTTTACTATTTTCGAAGTAAATTTTAGCAACATAAAAATTAACCATAACATATATACATTCCGAAAGAGTAAATCCACGTGAAATGATTCTACGGAAATTCCGTACGGAATTTAGTACAGAATATCGTAACAAAATTCCTCAAGATTTTTACAAACATATTCCACGTTTTTTTTGCAAAATTCTAGACGGAATTTCCGTCGAGCAATTTTCGTAAAATCGTTTCAATGTTTTATACTAAAATTCAATTTAAAATTGCTAAAAAAGTAACGTAGAAATTCTAAGCGGTTTTTTATAAAAAAAAATTATACATAAAGTATATTTATTATTGTTTACAAAGTAAGAGATAAAGATATGATATTTATGGCAAATTTTTTACTGTAGTGTCAGAGTAAATTTTATTAATAAAAATTAGCAATAAATTTACTTCCGGAAATATAGTGAAGATTTGCCGCATAAATTTCAGAATGTTTTTTTTGTCGGAAAGAAATATATATAAAGTAATTTTTTACTTTGTAAATACATTTACAAATATTTACTATTATTTACAAAGTAAAACCAAATCAGTTTTGAGCTTCTGCGCAATTCTGTCCACTTTTACTATTTTCAAAGTGAATTTTGCAATTCTTTCGAAGTACGTTTTTCTAATTTTTACAAAAATATACTTTGATCGCAGCAAATTTTACTTCAGAAATAGTAAAAATTGACAAAAATGCGCAGAAGTTTCTGTAAATTTAAAATTTACACTGTAATTATGTTTTAAATAATTTTTTAAGAATAAAAAAATTTAATTTCGGAGAAATCATTTATAATTAAAATTCTTAAAAAATTTGATTATTTCTTTATATATTTTAAAAACTCAATTATTTTGAAAAGGTTTTATCAAATTTCAATTATTTGTAAAAATATTTTAACCACTTTCAATTTTTTGGACATATTTTAATTGTAGGTATGTAATTGTAAAAGTATTGTCTTTCAAAAATTATTTAGAAATATTTTTAAAATAATTAATTTTAAGACATTCTTTATTAAAATTTTTGAATTTTTGAACTTTCGGAAAATTATTAAAAATTAATGTAGATAATTGATTTATAGAGATGAAAAATGTAGTTCAAAATTGTAGAAAATAATTGAATTTTGGAAAGATTATAGTTGTAATTTTTAGAAATTAATAAATTCCAGAAGTTGAAATTTTTTTAATTTTATTTCCTGTGAAAAAAGAAATAAAAAGTATTTGAATATTTATTTAGCGAAATTATTCGAGTTTTGATTAATTGAATTTAGAAATCAGGGAAATACAAAATAAAATTTTTTTTTGACAACTCTGAATTAAATACACGACTTTTTTGACTTTTTTTCTATTTTTAATCGACTAAAGCGAAATTTTTGGTTCGTTAATGTCGATCCGAGGCCTGTAATTTGAATCAGTAAAAATTTTTATTAATTTTAATGAGTAATAATTCTTAATAATGTAAATTATTAAAAAAAAATTACTAATTTGTATTAGTAGAAATTCTTATTAAATTTAAATCAGTGAGTGAGTCAACATTTTTAGTTCATTTTTTATTAGCAAAAATTCTTACTTATTTGTATTAGAAAAATTCTTACTTATTTGTATTAGCAAAAATTCTTACTTATTTAAATTAGTAGAAATTCATGCTAATTTGAGTGAGTAAAAATTCTTACTAATTTGAATCAGTAAAAATTCTAACTTATTTTTACTTGCAAAAATTCATATTTAACTTGAATTAGCGAATGTCTGAAAAATCTTCCTTTTTTTAACTATTTATTAATAAAAATAATATTAAAATATTTTTGAATAAACAAATTCTTAGAATTTTTTCATTCTAATTTTTTAACAAAGTAAATTAACATTTTTTAAAATTTACTTTTTTAGACTTCTTAAAATTTCGGAGAAATAATTTTTTTTAAATTCTTCAAAAATCTGATTACTTTTTTTATATTTTTTAGAAACTCAATTATTTTGAATAGCTTTTATCAAATTTCAATTAACTTTCAAAGACTACCAAATTTCAATTATTTTTAAAAAGATTTTACCAAAAATCAATTTTTTGGCCTTTTTTTAATAAATTCTATGTAATTGTAAAAATATTGTCTTTCAAAAATTATTTAGAAATATTTTTAAAAATTAATTTGAAGAATTTCTTTATTATAAAATTTTTAAAAATTTAAATAAACCTCAAAATGGAATACTCGAAGTACTTTCGGAAAATTATTAAAAATTAATGTAGATAATTGATTTAGAGATGAAGTTTAGTTCAAAATTGTAGAAAATAATTGAATTTTGGAAGGGTTATAGTAATTTTTAGAAAATAATAAATTTCAGAAGTTGAAATTTTTCAAATTTTATTTCCCGTGAAAAAAGAAATAAGAAGTATTTAAATATTTATTTAGCAAATTTCGACTTTTTTTCTATTTTAATCGACTAAAGCGACTTTTTTGGCTCGTTATAAGTCGATCCAAGGCCTTTAATTTGAATCAGTAAATTTTTTTACTAATTTGAATCAGTACTAATTCTTACTAATGTGAATTATTAAAGAAATTTTACTAATTTATATTTTAGTGGAAATTCTTATTTAATTTGAATCAGCAAGTGAGTTAACAATTTTAATCATTTTTAGTTCATTTTTTTTATTAGTAAAACTTTTAATTTGCAAAAGTAAAAATTCCTACTTATTTGTATTTGCAAAAATTCTTACTAATTTGTATATGTAGAAATTTATATGTTAATTTGAATGAGTAAATATTTTTAGTAATATTTAAATCACTGAAGATTTTTACTAATTTGAATTAGTAAAAATTCTGACTTATGTTTGCTTGTAAAAATTCATATTTAATTTAAATTAGCGACAACACAACAACACTGAATTTAATAAACGACTTTTTTCTATTTTTAATCGATTAAAGGGACTTTTTTGACTCGTTAAAGTCTATCCGAGGCCTGTATTTGCTTCATTTCGTTTGTGAGAGAATTTTCATGCCCTCTAGACGGTAATTTAAAGAACTGTATTGGCGCGAAATTCAAAACAGGACAATAATTTAACTAACAGATATTAATATTAATTATAAAGTAAATATAAATATTATGTATTATAAATTTATGTTAATATTAATTAATAAATAATTAAATTAATAGTTTAATAGTTATTGAACTAATTAATTTTATCTAATATTTACTAGAATCATGCAGTTTTTAATAAATTTTATCCAGAATCATTCTAGTAAAATTAAACATAATTTTATTTTATTATTTAAATTTTTAAAAGCCAGAACATCTTATTACTATTAATTTGATTTTTACTGGGTTAGTTTATTCTTCTTGTGAATAATAAAAATATTGTTTATTCTTTGTAACGGAGTTTGAGATGATTTTGATCTACTCTTCAGTTTGTAGTAGGTACGGTATTCTAATTAATTTACGCACTTGTATTGCGTCTTTTTTTTGTTTTTTACGAGCTAAAGACTATGAAAAGAATTTGTTTTTTTTCTTCTTTTTTTTTTGTTGTAGGTTTTTCGTTTCCCATAGACAAATTAGAGGGGTAAGGGTCGTCCTCTTCACATGTATATTAAAGTGTTATTAGGCTTGCGAGGGAGTATCTTAATATGTGTATTGTATATAGTATACAATCTCGCTCACAATATATCGTCGATGCGCGCAGGGGGTGCCGAAATGTCTAATTAGACTTCCAGACCTACCCTTATGATGACCAATGAGAAGGCTCGTTTTGCATTTAAGCCCCGCCTCAGAAAGCACCGTTGCCCTTTTCCTCGTGACAACCGACCACAGTTTCAACGTGAGCGCCGATCGGCGAACGTCTCCTGTGCGGAAGTTGAACGCTCTCATTTTTTTATCTCTCTCTCTCACTCTCTCTCTCTATTTTTCTCTCTATTTCTCTCTCTCTATTTATTACTCTCCTTCTCTATTATATACATATATAATCCCGCCATCACTCTGAAAAAACAGAAACGTGTTTACCGTTTTATTTTTTTTCTGTTTTTTCGGGCAAAGGAAGATAAAAAAATTGTTATTTTGTTCGAAAGGAAAAAGTTTTGAATAGTTGCAATAAAAAAAGGAGGAAAAGTTTGCAAAAAGAAGTTTTCTTTTTTTGTGTTTTTTTTGTTGTTTTTTTTTTTTTTTTGAAAAAAGTGCGGGTTCGTTCATCTCAAGTTGACGTGATACAACCGGTGACTTCTCTTGTCCGGATTCCGACAGTCGAGAAGTTGTTAATAGCTCTTTCTCTCTCCCTTTGACTCTTTTATATTTTGAAGTCGGGAGAGATCGAAACCTCGTCCTTGCGGATCTTTGGAACAAAAGACGAGAAAAAGGGACTTCTCTTTCTTCGGAGCCACACTTTTTTTAAGGTATATACACATATATATGTTTGTATGTTTGTTAGAAAAAGGATTAACTGCCTTTCTTCCTTGGTTGTTGTTCTTGTTTCTTGTTCTTCTTCTTATTCTTCTGCTTCATCTTCATCTTGTTCTTTTTCTTAGTCTTCTTTTACCCAAACCTTGTTTTTATATTGGCGGATCTTTTTCTCGTAAATGGCATGTCTGCTGTTTTGCATTACAAGAAATTTCACTTAAAGTTGAATTTTTAATGTAATTCAAATCATTGATTCTGTAAAGGTAAAAAAAAATGTTTAAACCATATGTGTGTGTGTGGAACCCTTTTGTCGAGATGTTCTATTCTCGGAAATTTTTTTTTTTATGTGTTTACCGTGTGTCGATTCAGGTTTTTTTTTAAATATATACTATGGAGAAATTGATGTGGGCCTCAGTGTGTAGACATAATTAATTAGCCTTCTGCGGACTTAAAGGCAAATTAGCACCATCAAATCCTTTTATTTAATTAGAAGGGGAACTCGTATAAGAAATTACTCCTTTTTCTTTTCGGGAATCGCATTCAATTCAAAAGCGTGACGGTATTATATGTAAAATATTTGCGTGTCAAAATTTTAATGTTTACATTAATCACTGTAAATTTTACGTTTTTGTTATTTATTTATTTACAATAATTTCAACAAAAATTTACTGAATAACAGTCACGAATAATTTCACAAATATAAAATTTTATATTTTTTATTATTTACTATTGTCTGTTTTCTAGTTATTTTTTAAAATTTTAATTTAATTTGGATTTTTTGTTTATCTTTTTTATTTTTATATTATATTTATATTATATTTATTTAGATTTTTAGAACATTTTTTGTTTTCTTCTTTTAATTCTTCTTTTTATGAGAACATTATTTATTATTGAATTTTAGTTTCGATTTATTTATAATTAAATTAAAATAGACTTAAATATATATTTAGATGAATTTAAATTCAATTTATAATTAAATTCATTTAAAAATGACAGTAAATTAAAATGTACTATATCGGCAAAATGTTGATTAATGATTCAAATAGTAATAATTCCATAATAATCGATTAGTTGAAAATAACTAATTAAAATAAGTTAAATTTGATAACTAAATTTGATTGATCAAATTTGACTGTTTTTTTTACTAAAAATTATTTATTTTTTTACTTAAACATTATTTAATTTCCTACTAAAAATTTGTTTACTCTTTTTGTAAAAATTACTTATTTTTCTACTAAAAACTATATATTTATTTTTCTAGTACAATTTTTTTTACTGATAATTAGTCTTTTTTCTACTAAACAAATTAAAACTGCTTTTTCTACCAAAAATTATTTATTTTTCTACTAAGAATTATTTTTACTTATAATTAGTTATTTAATTTTCTACTAAAAATGATTTATTTTACTGATCATTATTTATTTTTCTACTAAGAATTATTTTTTATTGATAATTAGTTATTTTTATACTAAAGAATTAATTCTGATCTTAATTATTTATTGAATTTTCTACTAAAAATTATTTATTTTCCTGCTAAGAATTTTAGTTATTTAATTTTCTACTAAGAACTGTTTATTTTTCTACTAAGAAAGAATTATTTTTTATTGATAGTTAGTTATGTTTCTACTAAAAATGATTTATTTTTCTACTAACAATTATTTTTTATTTATAATTAGTTATTTTTCTACTAAGAGTTATTTTTTATTGATAATTAGTTATTTTATTATACTAAGAATTATTTTTTTACTATTAATTGGTTATTTTATTTTCTACTAAGAAATAGTTTTTCTTCTACTAAAAATTATTTTTTTTTACTGATAATTATTTGTTTTTTCTACTAAAAATTATTTATTTTTCTACATATTAATAACAGTTTATTTGACTACTTAAAAATTATTTGTATCTCCTAATAATTGTTTACTTTTGGACTAGAATTATTTATTTATTCATCTACTTAGAATTGCTCATTTTTCTCCTAAAAATTGTTGATCTTTTTTACAAAAATTACGTACTTTTTTTCTACTAATATTTGATTTTTTACAAATAATTAGCTATATTTAATTAATAATCAGTTATGTTTAGCTGATAATTAATTATAAATAATTAAAAATTAGTTATAAATAACTAATAATTAGTTTTACGAATAATTATACCCATATTTATTTTTATTACCAATTGTTAAAGTTAAAAATTATTCACAAAAAATTGTAGCATCAATTAGTTATTTTTAATATAAATTAAAATGCAGAGAGTACAAATATTTTCACATTTTAATCGGAAAATGATTTTTTTTTCAAGTTTAATAATCAAAATGAATAAATTTATATTTAGATATCTGTAATAATTTATGCGCTTCTGAACAATATATCCTGAATAAATGTGCATTATATTTGCATTAATTATAGGTTAATTTTTGATAGGATAATAATATAGATTTAATGTACCGTTAGAAAAATTTTTTTTTCATTTTTTTCAGATTTTTTTAATATCCAACTTTATTAATAATTTATTGTATAATTAAATAATTGAATGGTTATATATGTGCGGGTAGTGTGCGCTTTTTAATCTTTAATGTGTCCTAATAGTATTGGAGTGAACTTTCTCGTTGTTATTAGACACTCTGTTTTTCCGCACATTGATCTCGCGAATAATAATCATACCTCTTTCTTTAATTACTACCACTTTTTATCTCAGTGATTCGCTAATTACAAATAACAGCTTTTACATATATATATATGTATTCGCCTTAGGCTTTTATTTCCTTCCCTCACTGATCTCGTCCTTGTCGATGGAATTTTATTATATATATTATATATATATATATATATTTTAGTTTTAAAACATTTGTCGATTACTTTTTGCAAATGGAAATTGCAATTTAGAAATTTTTAACGAGATAGGGTTGATTAAATAAAAATTATTGATGTCACAAAAATTGATTAGCGGGAAATATATTATAGTAATTAATATAATTATTTCTTTTATAAACGGGACAAGCAAAATTATTTATTTAATTTTTTACGTTCAGATGAGTTACAGTAGAATTTTTTTTTCAACTCAAGAAACAAATTATTTATCTACTTATAATAATAAATGAAAATTTCGAATAGAATTTTTTTACTAAAGGGGACAAATTATATATGCACAATTCAATTTTCTGTAATTAAAAGAAGCAATTAATTAACATAATAATTGGATAAGTGGACCATTAATTATTTTCTGACAATACAAGGTTTGAGTTTCGATACAATAAATCAAATTAATGAAATTGAGTAATTTAAATAGGGACAAAAATAATTGCGTAATTATAAATATAATAATAAAATAATAATAATAATAATAAATAATAAAAATAATGAAATTGAAAATAATAGAAATAAAAATAATAAATACAATCTCATAGTTTTTAATAATTGATAAGAAAATATAATTTTTCTATATTCATATTTTAATTTTGAAAGTCATAGGAAAAAATCACACTTTCTTTTTTTTTGTTGGATTATAACCAAAACAAACGGGATTTATAAAAAAAAGAAATAAAATAAAGAAATCAATTATTTAAGAAAAATAATGTTTAATATATTTTACTATACTTATAATATATATATATATATATATATATATATATATAATAAAAGAAAAGCATATGTGTAATATTGAATTTGATTCATAATTTAATTCTAAAAAAAAATTTACTATTTACGAGCGTGTTGAGATTCTTCAATTTTTTAATGAGTTCTGCTCCAAACAAGAGTTTATTGCCGCTCGTAAATATGTCACTATTTTTACCTCTTTAATTGCGATTCGATTTGATTCTTTCTGATGAAACAGACTATTTAAATTAGAGTACATAAATTATTATATTTTCATGTAAAGAATATATATATAGATGTATATATATTTTTTTTATATCAAGAAAGTTTAATGTAATAAATAACAAATCAATATATAGACATGTATATAATATTCACGTTATTTCGATATTTATTAATTGCTCTCTATACTTTATTTATTATTGGTATTATTTATTAACAATATAAACGGTCTAACAAAGGAAAAAAATCAAATTTATTATCATTTTTATTATTATTATTGATATTAATGTTGTTATTATTGAAGCTATTCTTAATTATATCATGATTATAATATAATTCAATTGCAATTATATTTTTATTAATATTATTATAATTATTATTTTTTTTCGCTAATTGAAAAATTTTATTCTAAATTTTTTTTGTTAGTTGTGTATTTTTTAATTATATTTTATACTTCAAAAACTTTATTATCATTGTAAATTTTTTTATTTTTTTTGTAAATTTATTTACACATAAAATATAATTTTTTTCTGTAATAACCTTTTCTATTAATTGTAAAATTTTTTATTATTATTTTTCCATTTTTTGTAAATTTATTTACACATAATAAGTTTTTTTCTGTAATAATTATTTAATGGGTTTTTTAATTGTTTGACGTTTTTAGAATTGAAATTAGAAAATTGGAACTTCTTTCTTTTTTGTAATTAATTCATACAATCAACCTACATATCATCCTACATTTTTTGTTTCACAATTTTTTTATTTGGTTTCAATCTTTTAATATCTCTTTGCGTACTCTCTCTCTCTCTCTCTCTGCCTCAATGTATTATTGAATTATTATCAGCAAAGTTGAGAGAAATCGTGAAAATTTTATTGGATTATTAATTTATTCAGTTTTATTGTTTAATGAATTCTATTGTAAATTTTAAATTAGATTTGATGGAAAATTTGTCGTGAGTTTTTAAAAGTAAAAGTAGCGATTAATTGGCGAAAAATTGTTGAGATTAAAAGACTTAATGTTAATAATTATAATTTTCAATTATATATTATGGTGAATAATGTATTATAATAATAAAAAGTTATAAATTATGATAATAAATTTAGTATATTATTAATAAATTATGTATTATAATTATAATTTAAATTATCTATTATAATTATTCATTCAGTATTAACTAAATAATTAATTTATTGTTTATAATAATAAATAATACTATTTATTTTCATTGTATCCAATTTGGATTTTTACTATTTTAAAAAATGTTTAATTTATTAATTATTATTATTATCATTAAAGCAAGGAGAGTGAATAAATACTTATAAATAAAAAATAAATTATTATCATTATTGATTTATTATTAATAAATAGTTAAATATTTATTTAATAATTTATTTATTGTATTGTATATTGATGATTAAATATTTTTTTATTATATTAATATTTATTTATTTGATTGATAATTATGATTTATGAATCACATATATTTATTTAATAATTGAATATTTTTTTAGTCCTTAGTAGTTATTATTAAAAATATGTATTTCAATTATTTGATATTTTATCTAAATTGGCTTTTTAATAATTATCAAAGTTTCGGAAAATTAGTTACAGAAATTTTATAAGTAATTAACTGAATTAAAATTTCAATAATCCGCGCATATGCTCGAATTTTGTAACAAAACATTAATAAACTGAATTTTTTCGACTGGAGGGTGTATTTACATTGGTGAGAAACAAAATTGTTGAAAGAAATTAATAGTCTTGATTGTAATCGAGAATAATTTGTGTCATTATCGAGATTAAAATCTCTTAAATTGAAAGAGAATGATGAACGACGCAGAACAAAAAAGGTGTGTGTGTGTGTGGGGGGAGTTAATGTATAACACTACTGATGGAAGTATAATGAAAAAAAAAAAAATTCTCCCTTTTTTTCTGTTACAGATTCAAGAACGGAAATTGGATCGACCTTCAATCACATAATAATAAATGAGGATGATGCCTCGAGAAGACCGAATTTCGATAATGCGAGGTTAGGAGTGTGACTTTTTCTCTTTCGGAGTGATTTCCTTGCTAACGGCGCTCCAAAGAGAATCGAAAAAGGGTTAAGAAGAAAAAAGCGAAAGAAGAGAGGAGGGAGTTGGAGTAGGAGAGAAGAGAAAAGGAAGCCGATTGTTTCAAGTCGGAAGATGCGTCAGGCGATAATTACAACTCTCGTCCTCCTGCTTCTTGTCGGCCGGAAAGGCGTCTCGGCTAACTGGTGGTAAGTCTTTAATGCTAATTGTAATCTTCTTTGTATTTCATTTACTGTAATTTATTTTTCTTTCTTTTTTTCTAATTTTATTGCGCACTGATGGTTGTCAATTTATTGTGTTTATCGGTCCTTATTTCTTCTCTCAATTTTGGGAAGGAAAAAAAAATCATTTTCTATGATTCGATGGGCAAATTAATTAAATATTGAAGTCAACGATCACTCCGAGTCAAGATGACTCGGAGTGATCGTTAACTTCAATATTTCATTAATTTGGGAGCAATTATTTATTGTTTGGATTAAAAAAAGTTGGGTTTTAAAAAATTTATTCTCCATATTGAATACGCCATTTTGAATTTTTAAAATCTGACTGGATGTTCGTAATCAGCGACCCCCAAAACCCTTGAGTAGCAATTTTCAAGCGAATTGATTTAATACTATGGAAATTAGGTTAATTTAATTTTATAAATTAGGTTAATAATCAGCGCCCCCCAAAACCCCCGGATGTCAATTTTCTATTGAATTTTTTTAATATTAGGCAAATAATATTAATTTTTTATTGAAAAAAAATAAAAAATTCGACCTCCATATTGGATCCGCCATCTTGATTCTTAAAAATCTGCCTGAAGGTTCGTATAAGCGATCAAATAAACCCGCGAAAAACAATCTTCAATGGAAATTGTTTAATATTGCGTAGAGTAGGTTAATTTTTTATTTTTTTAAATAAAAATTAAATAATTCGACTTCCATATTAGATCCACCATTTTGAATTTTGTAAATCTGACTAGGGGTTTATAATCATTCCATTGATCCCAAAAACCCTCGGATAGCTTGTTTTAAGCGAAATTTTTGAGTATTAAGCAAATTAAATTGAATTTTTATTTCAAAAATTTTAAAATTAGAAATTAGTTTTCCATATTAGATCCGCCATCTTAATTTTTAAAAATCTGACTGAAGGTTTGTAATCAGCGACCAAAAAAACTCTGGATTAGCAATTTCGAATCGAATTTGTTTAATATAAGGCAAATAAGATTAATTTTTTATTAAAAATAAATTCTAATATAAGAATTCCACCTCCATATTTGAACCACCATTTTGAATTTTGTTAAATCTGACTGGAGGTTTGTATACTTTGATATAAAAAATTCTCGGATAGCTTGTTTTAAGCAAAATTTTTGAGTATTAAGCAAATTAGATTGAATTTTTATTTCAAAAATATTAAAATTAAAAAATTGGACCTCCATATTGGATCCGCCATCTTGAATTTAAAAAAATCGGTGTTGAGGTTCGTATGCAGCGACCCAAAAAACTCCGGTTTAGCAATTTTCAATTGAATTTGTTTAATATTAGGCAAATAAGATTAATTTTTTATTAAAAAAAAAATTAAAATTAAAGAATTCGACCTCCATATTAGATTTGCCATTTTTAATTTTGAAATTATAACTGGAGGTTCGTGTACTTTGATGCCAATAATTCTCGGATAGCATGTGTCAAGCGAAATTATATTAATATTATGCAAATTAGATTGATTTTTTATTTCCTAAATATTAAAATTAAAAGATTTAACTTCCTTATTGCATCCGCCATCTTGATTTTTAAAAATCTGACTGGAGGTTTGTTGGCAGCGATTAAAAAAAAACCCCGAATACCAATTTTCAATCGAATTCATTTAATACTATGGAAATTGGGTTAATTTTTAAAAAATCGACTTCCATATTGGATCCGCCATTTTGAATTTTGAATATCTGACTGGAGGTTCATAATCAGCGACCCAAAAAACTCCGGATTAGCAATTTTCAACCGTACTTATTGTATTTCTATAAGAAAATTTTATAGATTGCTTTTTAAAAATTAGTACTGCATAAAAATTAAAATTTTTAGTAGGTTAAAAATAGTAGCAGCTTAAAAATTGTAGTGGCAACTACAATTTTTTACTCTCCAGAGAAATTAGTTGAAATCGAATTTTATTTTACTTTAGATTATATTTTTAGATATTTTTAGATTTGGTCATATTGGAATACATATGTTAAGACCTGCTAAATAACTGTTTACAGCAATATACAGTTTCTTTTTCCTTTTCTTTTCTTTTCTGTTTTTTTTTAGTGATCGGTTTCCTGAAAATTTTCGGTGATTTGGGCTTTCTTCGATCACCATCCCCGATTCTGACCCAGCTTTCTCTGTCCTCTTTTGTAGTGGGAAATGTGTTGTATTTTTTTTCTTTTTTCTTTTTTTTATTTTCAAATGGGATTTCTATCTAAATCGCCCCCGGTGCAAACCCAGACGGTTGTAAATTGGGGTGGGTCAGTGTTATAGTAAAGAGGGTCTTGTGCTCCAAAAAGTAATTTTCTCAAAGCAGATAAGAGAAAAGATACAAACGAATATCGTTCTTGACGCGCAAAATGTTCTTATATATAAAATATATTTTCCTGCTTTTCTTTTTTATTCGTTTTTTTCTCTTTGTTATTCATTTTGATAATCGAAATGCGGACACGATTTATGTAACTAATGTAAGAAAAAGAAGAATAAAAAAAGGGAAACAAAATAGTTAGTGGAAATAGTAAAAAGATTTCAATTTGAAGAAAAACGTGTAGGTACTAATTGAAGAAATCCCGTTGAGAGAAGATTTTTTTCCTTCATATATATATATATACAAAAAGTTTCTTGTGTCGAGAATTCTAAAGTGATGTAGATATCGAAAAATTATCATCATCATGTCGAGCCACAGGGGTTCTATAATTTTACATTCTCATTACACGCGAGAGAATTATTTTCTTGTATATACATATATATATATATAAAATTCGACCCCCGTGCCCCCGTTTTCATCACATCTTCACGTTTTGAGACCCTCTGAAACTGAAAAACCGGTTTAAACGATGGTGTCTGTCTGCTGATCTACTCATTTCTCTGTCTCTCTCTTGAAAATATGTTACCTGCCTACCTAGTAACATTCCCGTAACTAGTCACTTGTTACATGTTACTAATTAGAGCAAATCATATATTGCTAATGAATTTCGCTCGAAAGAAAAGCGATTTATAGTGACAAATTGTAATGGATTCTTTCGCTGATGATAATATTTGTTATTTGTAGTTGTACTAATTATTTATATCGTTTGGTATTAATAAACTAGAAAATAATTGATTTATTTATAGAGTTTATGTTAATAAACTGTAAAATATTTTGTATAATTTATTTTATTCTCTGCTCTCTAATTTGTATTTGGTCACTTTTGACTAATTCGCAGCAGCACTAAATCGTTTATTAAATTAATTAGCAGAAGACTAACAATTTTTACTTTTAGTCATTAAAAAAAGTTTTTATTTATTTGAATCGGTAAAAATTTCTACTAATTTATTAGAAAATTTTTTTACTAATTTAGATTAGTAAAACTTCTTACTAGTTTGAATCAGTAAAAATTCTGACTAATGTGAACTATTGAAATATTTTACTAATTTGTGTTAAAAGTGAAAATTCTTATACTTTATTTGAATCAGCAAGTGAGTCAAAATTTTTAGTAAAATTTTTTTAATTTTAAAAAAAGTTAATACAAATTAGTAAAATTTTTACTAATTTGTATTAGTAAAAATTCCTACTAATTTGAGGCCTCAGATATTATGATTTTTTTGACTTTTTTCGACTATTTTTGAAAAATGCGACTTTTTCGACTGTTCTTTCAAATTTTGCAACGAAATGCCACATTTTTAGTATAAAATGCAACTTATTTCGATTTTTATAGTGTGAAAAGTATAACTATAGACAAATCTTTGAAAAGTTATTTTTGAATCATTTTACTAATTAAATTTTTGAAATATATAATTAAAAAGATTTTGAATAATTAAAATTTTGCAAAATTTAATTGAAAATAAATCATTTTTTTAAGTATTTTATCCCAATTTTCAAAAATTAACTTTTAAAGAATTTTAATTGAAAATTTTGGAAATAATTGAATTCTCAAAAATTTTAATGAAAAATCTTTAAATTTAAATTTAATAAAAATGAAAATTAATGAAAATTATATTGTAAAAATAATATTAAAATATTTTTGAATAAACAAATTCTCAGAATTTTTTCATTCCAATTTTTTAACAAAGTAAATTAAAATTTTTTTAAATTTACTTTTTTAGATTTCTTAAAATTTTGGAGAAATCATTTTTATTTAAAATTCTTCAAAAATTTGATTATTTCTTTATATTTTTTAAAAACTCAATTATTTTGAAAAGGTTTTATCAAATTTAAATTATTTTTCAAAGACTTTACCAAATTTCAATTATTTTTAAAAAGATTTTACCAAATTTCAATTTTTTTGGACATTTTTTAATTCTATGTAATTGTAAAAATATTGACTTTCAAAAATTATTTAGAAATATTTTTAGCATATTAATTTTAAAAATTTCTTTATTAAAACTTTTGAAAATATTCTACCTTAATCAGTAAAATTTTTTACTAATTTGAATGAGTAATAATTCTTACTAATGTGAATTATTAAATTTTTTTTACTAATTTGTATTAATAGAAATTCTTACTAATTTGAATTAGTAGAAATTCATGCTAATTTGAGTGAGTAAAAATTCTTACTAATTTGAATCACTAAAAATGTTTACTAATTTGAATACGTAAAAATTCTGACTTATTTTTGACTAATTTTTGAATTAGCGAACGAATGTGAATTTAATATTGGAATTATTTTTCAAAATTCAAGGGTTATTTCAGTAAAATATTTATTTTGATTGAAAATAAAGAGTAGAATTTAATTATTGAATTTCCCCGTTTATATATATGTTTTGTATGTATATATATGTTGAAGTGTTTGTTTTATCAAGAAACTGAAAAACCCTTTGACTTTTGGGCAATAAAATTGGTCTTTGGATTATGGTACTAAATCGTCTTCAGATCTCTTTTCGACGCCTTCCTTTTGTTAATATACCTATATAATACGCACGATTTCAACTCTTGTTGGCTCGGTAAACAACACTCCTTTTCAGCATTATATTATGTAGTTTTTAAAAAGCTT